AGAAGTAAAATAGCAGAAAAAAAGCTGGGTGGCCATGTCTAACTATAATGCTGTCACACTTTATGGTTTGGCTCACTAGTATCTTCCCATTGAGCCAACCGACCACCAAACAGCTCTATTCACTCAAGCACCTTTCACAACATTTTTTATTAAGTATAGAATGCAAATTACTAATTTTTTAGTCAACTATTATGAGCGCCACTTCACTATGGGAAGCTTCTACTACTTCCCTTTGGTTTTTGGTCCTTCATGGTTTTTGTACAAACTTCCATTCTCCATCCATGCCTTTTACACATGCCGCACTGCTTCTCCTGCCTACGCTTACGTAGCCCTTGTCATCATCCGCGTAAGGGGCTTTGGCATCCATCATTTCCTCATTGTATGCCCAGCCAAGGCACTCCATGTCCACGTTTGCCATACCCCCTTCCTCGCCGTTTGCCTCCACCTCACCACGGCATCAGAGGCTGGCCCTCCGACGCCCGCACCGTCTGTGCCACCCGTGTTAGGGGCTGGCCTGCCATCGCCAACGCTGTCCCCGTTTCCACCACCAACCGCCCCTCTACAGCAACTTAAAACTCTCTTTGGTGGTCCGTGGAGAGGCCATTGTGCATGGGATCCAAACTGGACACCCCTCTCCAGCCCCTCCGAGCATCCCATTTGGAACTGAAATACTCAACAAGTTTGCCATGGTTCCACGAATGAGTCTGCACCATCTGCATAGTTCAAATTTTCCTTGCGCGCAGTGTGCAAGCCTCCTGGGCTGTGGGGGTCTTAAGTGGAGGCGTCTCGGGCACAGGGTCTATTCCCAGGGCTCTGTACAGCTGACTTGGCCATCAAAAAAGCCCAATCATATTGGGCAACATACAAGGTTGTCTCCGTACCCTTGACAATATCAGTTTAGGTACATAGGAGGTCAAAGCGACACAAGGCTATTGCGTTTCATCACAGTGTGATATCCAAATATGGATGCTAGTTAAACTACGTTACTAATATGCAAGTGAAAGCTAATGCATAAAGTTCACCCTTGTCCTATTAGGCCACGTGTGGTGTAAAACACAGGGGGTAGTGTGTTTCTTTGATTATGAATATCTGGAATGTACAATGAATATTAATGGATAATCTCATCCTTTAGTTGAGCTTACTAGGAGCCCATAGGTTTTTGAATCAGGCTTTTCGGGTTAGCAGTAGTGGAGATATAGCTACTAGAAACTCTAGTACTCAAGGACCCCTCCGCAACCATACTTGGGGATGAGATATTATCTATATGGTGACGTTGGTTGCATTGTCACGCAATGCAAGGCATGCCAAAGGGTGACCCCAATGCCCGACTTGCCGTAACTCTTATTGACCACTCGCTTCCGCGTGGCTGCACCCGCGAGCCGCACCGGCGTCGTGCACCCACTGCGTGCACTGCCGCCCCATGCCCGGCCGTTTGCATGCCTGGGCCCACACTGCGCACTCCGAGGAAGCGAGCGCCCCGGACCGCTCGCTATCATTTTGCGGAGAAAGCCCATCCGGGCCGGATTGGGCGCCGCGGCGGGGACATCGCCCGTGCATCGAGCCAAAAACCACGCCACTAGGGGAGGGCTGTAACAGGCTAGTGTTGGGTTTTAGTTGAATTCTAAGGCTCCTTTCAGGTATCTCAAGGCTGCAAATCAGCCTGACCGTCTGGCAGCATCTGTACTGCCCTGTGGGTTATGCTTTATTATTAAAATGAGCCTCAAAGGGTAGCAGCTCTCCCCGTGCACCATGCCCTGGCTCCGTGAGTCGCCTCAATTGCAGTCACCACCCAGTTTTAATACACTGGCGGATGCATAATTGCCAAGCCGTTTTGGTGCATTCTTCCAATATTCCTGGCTCATTACTTGGAGTCACCTTTATAGCTATCAAGGTCTTAGTGAAATGTTGTAATGTTCAACCAGGTCTTCGCCACCATATAATTGTGTTCTCTTACATCCCTTTCTTTATCCCTTTCTTTATAATTAGCCTTTAATCTCTGCCATAAACTGTTAGTGGTTCCTTCAAAAATATTCTTTAAAAGAGTAAAGGGAGTAACGGGAAATTTTTTCTTTTTTTTTTCTTATCAACGAATATCACAACAGCGAGCCTTTGAGTTTTGTGGTCATGTGACTTCAAGTCCAGTAGTCACATCTGGCTCATATTAAAGCTATTTTACTCAACACCTCACATTAGAACCTACATTTTCATTATGTCCATTTATATTCAATCGTGTCAAACTGCATCCCTTCAAACTGAACCTTGCATAAACTCCAGTAGCGCCGCCTTATGTTTCTTTCCTTTTCATCTTCAAATATTGTCCACACTTCAATTGCTATCTCTTCAACCATTCTGTTCACCTTGCATGTTAGTGAATTCGACTTCTGTTCATCTAGTTCCTTGTAATCTACAGCAGGTCTTTTTATGCATACTTTTCTCATGCGGTTCTTGCCCATGTGTCCAATCGACATCCCTGGGCTGAACGTTTCAATGCAGTCTATTCATGCACGCAGCTGGTTGTCCTTTCTTAGTTAGGTTCTTATGTAGATTACAGTTACAAGGCCCAACATCCAAGCGGCCATCAAATGCAAACCCTCGGATCCACTTTAAAATGGAAACATTCTTGTCCATCAAATCTAGGCTTCTGGAACTACCCTTTTTATGAAATAAATCATGTCACCCCCTCAAAAATTTTCAGTGGTCGTGTTTAGGAACAGTCGAGCTTCACTTAGGTACCATCAATGCTCTTTAGCATATCCACAGCTGGGGAGCCACTGAGGGGTGGTGGCTCACCTCATTGTTTCCTCAGTCTTTCTCTTATAGCCATTGCCAGGTAGCGTGTTAGGCACCATAAATTGTAAAGGCATAGCGGCCATGTGATGTTTTCTTAATATGCCATTTACACAACCGCTCTCCCTTGTTCTTTTTATGCAGCGCATATCTATCCTTTTCTTTGCTCCCTTCTCTTCTCTTTTCACTTTCACCCTGACTGGTTGTTTGATAGTGGTCTAGTCAGCTGCCTTGTGTTGGACATGAGCCCGCCTTTGATGTACCGGTGCTCATGACTAATGGCAATTTTAGCAGAAAACTGTGCTACATTTTTGCACTCATATTGCATAACATTTGGTGCATGCAGCGAACGTTGTTATCATCCGGCATGGTGGCAACAGCAGCCCTAGGAAAAACCTGCCAACATACAACAACTTATCGGCCATTTTAAAAACTCCAGTCCTACGGTTTCGGCTCCTCATTTTGTTCGGAGGCTGTCGCTTCAATATACTATATTGACTATTCATCGCCCTTCACATCGCATCTAGCAGGCGCAGGCTGGCCAGAACGACCCGCAGATCAGTTGCTGAACTTGAATCGAATTTCGTGGAGAATCTCCGCATGGCCCCTTGTTATCGGATAACATCCTGGGATTCCCGGGATACAGTGGTGTGAGCGTGGCATGATGTACACAGCAGGGGCCCAACATCCAAGTTGATCAACCTGGATCACGATGCCTTTCTTGCCGTACATCGACACAATGAGCTATGCGCACTGTGCGTGGGCGCTCTTTCACGAAGAGGGGCACCAGTCTTAGGCTTTGCAGATCATTTCAAGGGACCTCTGCAAGAGACCTCTTGCGGAGGTTCCTTGGAATGATTTGCAAGGCAAGCCTGGGGCACACAGTGTGGCATGGCGCAACAACATTGTGTGCGGTCACAAACGTATCAACAGCATGGTGGGCTTCCACAAGTTGAGCACGGATCGTTTGCCACGACCTTTGGCAGCTATGTTGGTTGAGTGTACTATGTCAACGTTGGTAGCACGTCGTTGGTCACGTGGAGGAGGTATCCAGAAGATTTGACGATATGCCATGGCGACACTGGATAAGTGTCGTCAATTCACCATTCACAATTCACCATCGTGGAGTATGTCAACCTGTTCGGCCACACCCCAAATGCATGTTGTATATGTCAACCAATAGCCGTCGCATATACAGGCGCTGCGGCACATCCTGTTGCTCATGTTTGTGTGTACCACGGTATATTCAGCCCCTCCCCATCAAGCAATTTTACCGTTACGATTTTTGCTCTGCATTTTCTTTGGAGCATTGTTTTTAATTTATTCACGCTGCTCCGTGAAAATTTTATTAAAAGAGCGCTATTATTTTTTGGTTTTCTCCACACACTAAAGGCCAAGCATTATGTCAGTATGCTGAAATCTTGAACATACCATGGTAGAGACTTTGCAATATGAGGCGATTCCCTGTTCACGAGTAATGCGGCCGTGGTGCCCATCGATGACGAACTTCCAAGCGCAAAAACCCCTCTGTGTGCAGTTGTTGCGAATTGCGCTCCATCAAGGAGGAGCCATCGACTACGATTTGGTGTGTCCTGCAAAGGGCATCACATGCTTACCAAAGTTCTTTATCCACAACTCCTGAGGGGTGCAGATTTGACTTGTGTGGACATTCACACCTTGAAGTTTGACTATCAAATGTCACTATTCGTCGTCCTGAGCGCCCGCTTCTTTGGGCGGGTCGCCGTCTTCAACAGTGCGCCTATCAACATTTCAACTAATGGCCGAAAGATTGGTTGACAATTAGTCAGCGTTGGTTGGTTGACTTGAAATCAGGTAACCACAACACTGACAGGGAAGGAGACTTGGCCTGAGGTGTCATGCATTAGATATCCATGAACGGATGCTGGACACCGCTTTCCTCCGGCGGATTAGGAAGCCGACGGCCACCTCCCCGCCTTGTTGTGTAATTGTTACGTAAAAACTGAACGATGATGGTGAAAGGGAAGGACCAGGAAGGCATCACCTGCCTGCGCTTACTAGCCCGATGAAGGGCGGCCGCAGATGCCTCGCGGGTACCTTCTCGCGTGCGTCGTGCAGTCGCATCACCCCTCCCGCCCCAAATTCATAAAGGCTCCTCGTCCCCAGTTCTCACTCGAGCCGCAAGGCCTTCTTCCCAGTCCCCCCAGCGGCCGAGGGTGCCGCGGCGGGGAGGCATGAAACGCCTGCTGGTGAGTGTCCGCGCGTCGCCGCATCGACGCGCCATGCCAAGCGCCGCGAGGCGCTGTCCTTCGGAACGGCGGTCTGCGCCCATACAGCAATGCCGTGGCGGCCCCGAACTTCTGGCTTCGAATAAGGACGGTTGTGGGAGCTGTCGGTCGTTGTGTCCCAGAAGGGTGGAGCGTGGAAGTTCTCTAAAGTCTCTAAGGGAAAATCTCACCTTTCAACCTTCCTTGCGCTCCTCTGCCGTTCATCGGCATGCTGATGAATCCCTGGTCACTGTCCCACGTGACAGTGCTGCCCTAAGCGCTGAGTGTGAGCGGGGCGGCTGGCCGCGTGCGCTCGAGGGGGGTCACTCATTGCTTGTTCAAGCGCAGCGATGCTTGCGTCCCGCGCCTTCCTTCGAGGAGCCGAGCCCCGGCGGCACGGGCCCACGCAAGGGCGCGGACGACGTCCGAGGGAGGCAAGCCTTCGGCTGCGACACGCTGCCCATCGAGCAGAACCCGGACAAGGAGCGCGTCAAGCAAATGTAGGTATTAGCGGGCATGTGTTTTCCAACCGTGTTAAGATTTGCGTGCGGAGATAGCTGCGTGAACGAGCGGTGACGGGGGGTTCTCTGGGAGCGTTGCGGGAACGCCCGGCGCTGTCGCTGGCGGTTTGGAAGTCAGGGCGCGTCGATGTCGACCCAAAGGGTGGGGGATTGCGATGCGGCGAGAGGCATTGGAGGCGGTGATGCTGTGCGCTGCAAGCACGAGGGAGGGTCCGATGCGCATGTGGAGACGCGATGGCGTGAAGCGTTTGTCCAGTCGTTCCCGCCCGAAGCGTTCCCGCAGGGTGTTGTGAAGGAATTTGGTCCAAGACGCCCGCCGATAGTGGCTGCCGAAATGCGCGCTGAGTCGCGCGTTCGTAGCTGTGTGCATTGACCGTTCGCCTGCGGTTTGGTGATCAGCGAACGCGACATCGTTTCTGGAGCAATTCCTGTCTTCCGGCTGTTTTTGTTTCTGACAACTGTGGACGTGCTCACTCGGTCGTTGCAATTCTGGTGAATGAGGCTGCCAGGGAGCAGGTTGCCAGTTTTGATTTGTGGTCATGTTGAATGAGAGAAGATCGGACAGCTCTGGGCACGCGGCCGTCCGCGTTGTTCATAGGGAGAGACAACCAACAGTGCTGACCCACCATGGGTCCGCGGCTCACTGCAGGTGCAAGAGTGTCCAGGGGCGGAAAGTCAGGAGGGTGTATGAGCTGGGCGACAAGATTGGATCTGGAGGTGTGTTGGCAATGCATTGTGAATGCTCGCTGATATCTGGTCACAAGTTACGACGGGGCGTCAGCCATAGCGCTCTGCCGTGGATGTGGGGCTTTTGCAGCAGTTCAGCGCGCATGCCCGTCCTGGGGACTTGATGAGGACTGGGGTGGTTAGCGATGGTGCAGGGTACTTGGTGTTTGCAATTCGGTCTGGGACAAGTATGGATGATAAGCGCTGACCCTCTCTGCCCTTGCCTTTGTTGGAAAGGATTTGCAACAGTTGTGGGTGCACTGCACAAGGGGAGTGGAAAGGAGTACGCATGCAAGATTATAAAACTCCCCAAGGCGGGTTGCCGGGAGCCAGGCGAACTCATGAGCAGGTGGGTCTGGAGTTGTGTGCATGTTGCACTGTCCCAAGAGCACTGGGTTCCTGTGGACGACACTGGCAAGCCCATACAATGACTGCCTCACCTTCTGCCATTGTTGTCCTTCAGGGATCAGGTGTTGCGCGAAATACATATTGCCAGTGCCTTGCAACATGACAACGTTGTTCGCTTGAAGGAGTTCTTCCTCAGCAAGAAAAAGGTAAAGAAACTCCTAATCTGGCTCCTAATTTTGATTGAAACCAACTACTGGCGATCGGCCTGTGGTCAGTTGGTGATATCTATGATTGCCCGTGAGCAAGAGAAAGGCTGGTCCCTCATTTGAAGTTGGAGAGACCCAGGGGAATCTGGCCTCTGATCAGAGAAAGTTGTGCCTCCTGAAATGCCATTCGTACTTGTCACCAGGCCTACGTGATCATGGAGATGATGTTCGGCGGTTCGCTGGTGAACTACATCGTGAAGAAGGGGCCCCTCAGTGAAGAAGAGGCAAGGCTGGTGTTTGCGCAGGTGCTGCAAGGCATCTCGTACCTCCACAAAAAGTAAGCCAACAGGCGTTGCACATGCTTCGGGAATGGATGTGTAGTGGGGAGGGGGCAGGGTGGTGGCTGGGACGTTCTCTACACCTCCCAGTCTGCATGGGCGTGTGTGAGTGGAGGTAGTTGAAGGGGGATAGGGAGCAAACAGGGCAGTGCGGCATTCGCCGCTTTGTTAAGAACCTGTTTTTACAGAGCTGATTCTGGGTGCTTTCCAGGAACGTGATTCACAGAGATGTGAAGCTTGAGAACATTCTCCTTGCCTTCCCGGATGACTTGAGGAACGTGAAGCTTACAGACTTTGGTTTGTCCAAAGTTTGTCAGAATGTCACTGGGACACGGGTGGGCACGCCCGAGTACGCTGCTCCTGATATGTACCAAAGCGGTGACAACCGTCAGTTCTATGGAAAAAGTGTGGACATGTGGGCAGCCGGGGTGACCCTGTATTGCATGCTGGCTGGCAAGCAACCCTTTCGAGGTGGCGGGGCCGACAGTGAGGTGATGCTCCAACGAATCGTCCATGCTGACTACGAATTCGATGGTCCATTGTGGGATGGCATCTCTGAGAGGTATGCTAGGCTAGGATGTGCAATGTAGTGAAACTGGTGACAGGGTATGCTCACTAGGAGGTATGCACACCCAAGCCAGTGCCTTAACGAATTGCGCACACATGAAACACTGGTGAAAGAAAACATGCCTTGACAGAGCAGATTCGTAACCCTGCAGTCAGCAGGCCCAGCAGCTGGAGGCAACTGCAGAATGCCTACAACCTTGAGAAAAGTGTGGAAGTGAACGCATAGGGTTTCAATACGAGGTAAATGTGGCATATGGCAGGGATTAGGGGCCGAAGCGTTTGATCACAGGGCGAGGAGCACATATATTGGCATTGGACGACGCCAAATTTCAAGCTGTCACTGAAATGTGTATCAACAATGACAGCAAAATGAAGGTTCTCAGGGCAGTCACATGTGCAGACGATGGAGGATGTAGAGCCTGTTTGCATCCATACCTGTGTGCGCAATTAAATGTGACTGTGTGCCTGCCAGTTTCGTTCACAGGTGCACATTTTGGATGGCCCGAAAGTGAGCCGTGCTGTGGAGGACAAGATAGTTTCAGTTGCATGCCTGTTCGATATGGTGCTGTTCTGGAAAGTCGACAGCATGTTACCATGGGGCGATGGACTTTGTTGACTGGCCATTTTCTCCCTTCCATTTTTTTCCTCTTTCTTAATATCCTGTCCACCCAACATGTATCCTCCCCTGCAGCTCGAACTTGTGCAGTGAGGGCCACTGAGGCTCCAGAAACCTTCGGTTGTTCACTCCATGGCTGTGTGTGGTTGCAGTGCGAAAGACCTGATTTCAAGCCTTTTGGTGTGTGACTCGAACAAGCGCCTGACTGCAGAAGCCGCTCTGAAACATCCTTGGCTTGCGAGGTAGCAGCAAATGATGAAAGAGAAATGTCAAGCAGAGGGGACAGTATATGGGATAGGGGGATGATATAGATATTGATAGTTAAGCGTATGATGCACAAGTTTGCAGGAGATAGTGTTCCTTTGATAGCTCATTGTGGCAAACAGATCCCTGGCTGACTACATATTTCGGTCAGCGTGGCGAGTTTTGCGAGCGAAAATACTGTAGGAGCCCATGGACGCGCTGCGCCAGCCCAAACGGCTATTGCACAGGGTGGACGCCGGTCCATGGATTGGGCGCGTGTTTTGCGATGTATGTACAAACGGCGGCATGGCAAGCGTCGGAGTATAAGAACGCCCTTACAAACAACAGCTGCCCCTTTTCGGCTTTGCGGGTGTATTTTTTCCACCTTCGTTTGCTCAAGTTGGGTTTTTTGTGGTTTGTCTCTGCTTCGTCGCGCCAGTTTGCTGCCGGACTGTGATATCTGGAACTTGCTATGGGAAACGTGATGCAATAGTATCGTAGTTGGGAGATCTTTGGCGCTGAGCTCAGAGCGGAGGTTGCGATTGTACATGCCAACTGCATGGCCGCGGGTACCTGCGGACCCCAGAAGCGCTGCATCTGCATGTGCCGTGTATTCAACCAGGCTCTGGGCCAGGGGTGATACGGGAGCAAGTCATCGTGGGAGCGTGCTTCGGGTAATATAAGTAGCATTCGGATGGGCAAGATGAATTCAGTTACCGAAATTTGTCGTATCTGATGGGGCAAGTGGCAGCGGAAAGCGTTGTCCCTAGTCCAGGTCACGGGCGGTGAACGGAGGCGCGCTTCCAGCTGATGAACAAATTGTGATCCGATAAGTGATTTTTTTTGGTGTCATTTTTCTGGTGTCTGGTGCCAGTGTTGGAGGTGGTCGCACACAGCATATTCCCCTTCCAAAGGAATGGACGAGGCTGTGGGAAACCGCAGCCTACAGGGCTGAAGGCCAGCAGCAATTCGGCTGGAAGACATTGATCTGTTAACCGCATAGGAAGGCACGCCTCATGCCAGTGCATACAACGAACTTGTCGGCAGGTCCCCTTGCTGCTTAAGGGTGCACTAGCTCAAGGATGCAATACACCGCGACAGCATCGCCAAGTCTTTTCTACCGCTGGATTTCGACACTTTGGCAACAATCGCCACAAGAGTACATTCCTAGCAGGGGCCCATTGGCAAACTGGCAAGCTCGAGGCTGTCCATGGAGGTCTCTGATTGTTGTTGGCGTGAGGTGAGCCCACGAGCCCTGTGTCGCTTCCAGGGCGGCAGTGCAACCAAGGCTGCGAGGAACACCTGGTGGCGCCAGCGATTTCACCCTCAGTGGTTGGCACAGAGGTGCCCGCCCTCCATTTCCGATGAAGTAAACATTGGTGGGCTGACAACCTGAACAGTGCCTGTCCTGCTCTTGGCAGGACGAACAGGCACCTTTGGGCAATGCAGCGTGGGACTTCAATCAGCCTTAATTCAATTAGTCACCCCTTCAATACGGTGTTCACGACAGTGTTCCACGTCTGCTGAGTGCCTCGCGACGTAGACCAAAGTAACGATACCCAATAACTTACCCGCCTAGTGGGTGGAAAGAAGCGCAAGAAACCAAATGGCAGTCGCGGGGCTCCATGCAACAGAAACCGTACCCGCTGATCTTGCTTCAGCCCGCCAGAGCTGCCCTGTTGAAGCAGACCCTGGACTCCTGTTGAAAGTGTGCTCTCTGTGTATTGATCCCTTTACCCCAATTGAAACGCAGCTTTCGAATCTATGGGCCTCAAATTGCTCACGTACAGGCGGCAATCGTCTTCCCGAAGAATGCCTTGACTGCTTGATTGCCATCAAATGGATGTCGCTGGCAAGAACAGAGCGTCGGGACCCGTGAACCGCCAGCACCATTGGCATCAATGGGTTTCGTTCTCAAAAGGCGCTGATGCAGCGACGCACAACAATGCATCAGCGAACTCTTTGCAGCAATGGCCATCAGTGTTGCAGCAACACCGTTGTTGTTTTCGGCTGACTCCTCAGGAGGCACAACAATCCCAAGGCGCCGAATAGGTTGTGTGCTCCCTCCAAACTCAAACAATCCAACGTGCACTGCTGCATCCATATCCTCGCTGATCCCAATTGTCAAATAGTGACAGTGTTTCTGGATGAGGGAACACATTATGTCGATCACAGTACGCTTAGAGTCAGTTTAACGTTAAGCTCATTACCCCCTTCCTCCTCCTCCTCCTCTTAGGAGGGTTTGCCCTTTGTATGACCTGTTTCTCTTTCTTTGCGTCAACCCTTATGTCGATGCCAGGATGACTCAGCAACATTATGTAAAGGTGGCATACAACTTTTAGGCGTTTCTAAGGAGAGAAAATGATCAGATTTGTACTGAATTTAGTGGCTGAAGAATGGGGTTTTAAACGCCATTACAGGAAGGTGGGCAGCCTCAGTGGCTGTAAATTGATACAATTTAAGGCCTCCTTGAAGATTGAACACTTGAGGGAGGTATACAAATACGCCAGAGTTTTTGGCTGCTGATGAACAGCGGCCATGGGGCATCTTTCTATGTTATGTCGATTTTGTGGCAATTACATAATTCCTTAGCCTCTCAGGTCTGGACCCCCAAAAACCTCAGTGTCAAACTGACGCTAAGCGTAGTGTCTTCTCTTAGACTGGGCCAGATGCGCACGTTCTGGCTCCGCGTCTGGCTGCTGACTGCTATGTACTCCGGAGCTGTGTGCATTGGATTGAATGCACAGGTGAACAAGGCGCTGCGCCAGCAGTGTTCACACCATGGTACCTGACATTGCTTGCAAGCCTCGGACCACTGCCTTGCAATGCCGAATGTGATCCGCCTGATGTGCACATGCCATGCTGGAGGGCTCTCATCTGTGCCAGCCATAGGGGTGGCCTTTGAGCCGTGCGGCTGAAGCTCAAGACTCCGCTCAAGGCAGACGCTTGTGGGAACCTGTGTCATGTCAGCTGTGTGACCTGTGCCACGTGTTGTGAGATCGCAGTCGTTGCGGAGTCGAGTCCTGTTCCCCCCAACGTACAGTTTAGTGGCTGCCATCCTGTGGCGATGGGCGCCCGAAGTCAGCATTGACAAGACATCGTCGATTTCTACGTGTTCATTTGGAGACTGTTCTACACAAAGTAAGTGTTCATCCCATTCATACATTAAGCGCAATGCGTGGGATTGTGTCTTGAGTTTGTGTTAGGGATTTTTATGGCAGAAGAGATTTCTCCAATTTGAAGGTGGATGCCCTGTTTTGGGAGAGTCCTCGAAGGGCAGAATTGGCACGCAACGATGACGGAGAGTTTCTGTCAGATTGTTGTTGTGTTGAACGAAAAATCGACGAATGCGAGGAAAGTTTGGGATTGGCAGGCGAACGATATCAAGGGCTATGGGTATTGCAAAATATGGGCCAGGCCGTCTGCCTTGTCAGGGAACAGGGCATTGGAACGAACTGGGTCGTAGATAACTTAGCCCCCGTGGTAAATTCATTTGTGGCGCGTCTGGCGGACGGTTTACCGGCATTGCAAACGCCGAATTGCTCGCAGGCACGCCTTCAGACACACCAGCCTCGATTAGGGACTGCCGTCTGCAGCCAGCTTGCACTGGCGTAGCGACGTTCCTGCCGTTTGCTTGCCGAACATTATGCAGAGGTGCGCCGCAACAGCGCTGTTGGCCTTTGGGGAGAGCCACGACTGAGGGCATAACGAATGACTGGGATTAGGCTGCACCCACTGGTACTGCCGAGGAAGTTCGCCTATGCAGGAGGGAACATCCGCCACCGCCAAGAAAATCCGACAAAGATAGCAAACGCGGACGGGAGGAGCAACGGAACATCAACAGTATGCAGCGTTATTACAACAGCGAACCCCAAGTGGGCAACAAGGAACGGCCAGGTCAGCCGTTTTCCATTCAAAGTCATGAGGTACGCAACAAGCACACTGCGAAACCCACATAATGTGATCACACCGCAGACCGAGTCCTGGCGGCCCTTCTCACCTACGGCGGCTGACATTCAGCAAAAGGACAAATTTACCGCCAACCACAACAATGCGGCAAATCGCCAACACAAGTCAATTGATATAGAATTTGAATCAGGACTTAAGAAACACGTTTTATTGACCATCCTTTGAATAAGAGAATATTTTGGGGTTGCGGAAGCACCCCAGCCCTCATCCTTTCCTCTTTCTATTATTGAGTTTCCTGATGCACAAAGGCGCATCAGCTGTTAAGGGTGTACCGGCCTAATTTTTCGGACCAATCAATTCTAAGCCGACCTAATTCGACTGGAGACGCATGAAAAGAGAACATGCCTGTGCACAGCTTGAGCATCCTCCAAAAACCCCAACGTGAGGCAATTTCGGTTCCCGCTGCAAATGCCTACATCTCCCCTGCCTTGAAGATTATCGACTCTTCAGCTCGTCAAACAAAAGCCCGTTTGAAGAAGGCGAAGGTTCTTGCATAGAGAGGAGTCATGTAGCCTGCAAGCCAGCTAGCTTCTTGGCAGCAAGCGAAACACCAGTGCCTAGTTGAATGAAATGTTACCTCATGAAATGGAAGTGCCATTCACGGATAGGTCATCACCGAAGCCACTCACACATCCCCCTGCTAATAACACAACAATAGAACGCTTCAGAAGCCCCACCGCCCCGGAAGCTACGCATGATGCACCGCCTACAACGTTGACGGCCAAACGAATACACAGGGGCATCAAGTAGTCTGGTACGCGGTCAATGCCACAAAGACACACACTTCGCTGCATCTGGTGCTCTTTGGCTGCAACGTGCCATCCTGATTCGGATCCGAAAGGTGCGTATACAGACTGTATGCTTGGGCGGGGGCAACAATCTGTTGTTCCGCAGGTTCTGTTCATGGCTCCATATGCAGCGACTGCATGCATCTGCAGGCTCCTAATTCCGATGGGCATGTTGACTGTGGACAGTACGACACCACAAAGTAGCTGCTGCCAGTGCTGCTGCGCGCTCCAACTCCACATAGCAAAGGCGACACCGAAGCGACCGCACACACCCACCTCCAGCACCATCGGCGGTGATGCAGATTCAAACCGACAGTCTCTCGTTGCCCATGCCCTACAAAACAGAGGCAAGAACAGGCGAGGCCGCACACTGGCCTATCAAGATTTGTATGCTATAGTTTTTCACCTTCCATCACAGGTGATGCAAAAGTTGCTCACATTGATTGGCAGTGTGTCGGATGCCGAATTGCAGTATCACGTCGCATGGGTGTGGTTGATACTCAGGCAGCCACGAACAGCCATCGACTCACCGTTCGTATCCCACCAGGTATTGGTGGTACACCCTGGCTGTACAGGTCGTTGGCACTGAGAGCTGCAGGGGCCCGCCCTTGGCGAGTTGTCGAAGCAAAATCCACCCATGGCGGTCCTTTGCCTGGTGGCTAGCCATGCCACCGCATTCGACGACAGCCTTGTACAATGAGAACAGGTCCATGGGGATTGCCCTGACCAGCAAAGCAAGCAGTCAACACACGATCGAGTGTAGCCACCACTTCATGCATTCAGGAGGACTGCAGACATTGGGCTCAAACTTGCCTGGGCGCTGAAAAACACACACTGCTTTCACAACCATGCTCACTTGAGTGCTGCACATGCGCAACAAATGCCGATTCAGCACCCAAGCAAAGATGTAAGCTCTCTGCCGGCAAAACGATTGAATGCGCGATCTCTGAAAGTCCACGAGGCCTGTGCTCTACCGTAGGTCCTCACCTTTCTCGGACGTGCTGGGCCCTCTCGTCTTGCCGGAGGACGTGCTGCAGGAAGTCTGCAAGGTCTTCATAGAACTCCGGGCCTTGGCACTCCGACAAGGATGGCCTCGATGTGTTGGACATGAAATCCTGGACGGCTTCATGGTACAGGAGCTGAGCAATGACAGCGTCTGGGAACTCTTGGGCTGCAAGGCACGATTGGAACCTGACAGATATTTGTACAAAAGTGAAACGCCGCTTCGTAGCAATGGAAGCTATACGATCGGGCACTTGGGACACACAGTTTACCACGCCGATTCACACTGTGCATGTGGAAGCATGTTCAACGCACCCTTTCCAACCATTTGCTGATCTGAACTGGCATTCCTGCAGTCTGTGTGGAGCAACGAAAAATCAAGCATCCTTGAGGCATCGGTATATCAGATAGACTGCTTTTGTGCACAAGTGCATCCAGGCAACTTGTCATCAACCCCCAAACCTCCACAATCCAACAAAGGTTGATGGAATCTGACATGCACCCCAGCGGCACAACAGCATTTGCATAACACAAAGGACATGCAAGTTGACAAGCAGAGCTGGTTGCACTACCAGACACTGTGATCCACATCCTTAAGCTCACCGGAGGTCGCTGTTCTTCTCACAGACAAATTGTGATTCGTCCTCCGATTTCAAGTCATGCAAGGGCATCCGGCGCCATTTGCCTGAGTCAGACAACAACAAGGTCAGTGTGGTGCTTGTGACTGAGCCCAGCTTCACTGAAATCGCGGGTACATTGCCATAGTGTGCACAGCGATCAGCCACAACCACTGAAGTGCCTCCTGCATGTGTACCACCAGGCCTTGTTTTGCTTTAAAAGCCAACAAGGACGACCACAATGTGGCCAGCTGCACATCAGTCCCACCACAGGTGACCCCACATCACAGCTGTCCCAATCACATGCCCAAAGCTTGATGAGCGAGGAAACCCAGAGCAGAAGGATCAGTATGGTCCATTCAGGTGGTCTACAGCTTTGGCTTCGATGCCATTGAATATGACAACTCACTGGCCGAACAAATATCAATCCCTGTACATGTGCTGTGCCTGGCAGACTTGCCCCCTCACCACAAGACTGGCACTCCAGCCACCTGTGCGTAGGCTCCACCGGGGGCAGATTCAGAGTGGCAAATGGAAGCAGGCCACGGACGCCAAGCCGGCCCCCTGCTGTGTTGTCACTGCTCCTGTCCACTGGGTTCCGTGACGGTTGAGACAGAACAGGTGACGATGGTGAGCACAGCTCCAGGTCGTTCGAGTATGACACTGAAGAGTGTGTTGCTGTCGTAGTGAACATCCAGCTTGCATCTGCAGGGCATCGAACAGGGCATGAGCGTCCTTGTTTACGGTTGCTCAGATGGAGCTGAAGCCCTGCCGGATCTGAAGGGTAATCCCGACTGGGCGCAAAGTCAAAACTTGGATAAACTGCTGCCATTGGAAGTAATGCTACACCTGAATGCAAATTTGTGCAGGCCCCATTGGCCTGCCATCCACTGGATGCGCCGGTGCGTGTTCGTTAAGGTACAATTCAGGGCCAGATGCGCTGGCAGCCACTGGACACAACAACGACTTAGCACAAAAGCTACCACCGAGCGTCAGAGTGGCCTATCCAATACAACAACAAGATCTGCTGCATGCCGCCATTGGTGGCGCGATTCCCATTGCATCAGACTCTTGTGCCTGCACTCGACAGCTGAAAGGCTCGCAAAACCGAGTGCGCAGCGTGCCAGCCCAACCGACCTGCCGCTGTGGCAGACCGCTTCCTCACACCGTTCCTCTTCGTCCTCTTGTTCTTCCTCTTCTCCAGCTCCTCCGCCCCGTCCCTCTTGGCGTACTCCTGGCGGAACGCGCACAGGAGCGTGCCCTCGTACGCCACGCTGGACCACCCGTCATCGGACCTCTTCACGGGGTTCGCCTTCCGCTTTACATAGAGCGAGAACGCGCTGGGGCTGGTGAAGGTGCAGCCCTCGAAAAGGATGTCGCCGTTGTCTCCCAAATCTGTCACAACAGCGCAACAAACCCCTCAGTGACCAGCTCAATCCATTCCACCAATCACGCCTGGCATTGCGCGAAGGGCCAAGGCCGTTGGCAACATTGGGCCCACGGATCACGGGTGATCGACCCTGCGAAGCCCCTCGCGATTGCCATTCGCCGATGTCTGCCCTCGACCGGGCGCCGGCGATCGGGCTCGGCAAGTGTGACGCTGCAGGGGCTGAAGGGATGCGGATGTGCCGACAACGCCGGGTGGATTTTTTCGCACCCCTCTCGGGGGGGATGCTGCACAGAAGGGCATTTCTGAGAGGGACGTAAATTGCAACCGCGCAACGGCGCACGGGGAAGCCGCGAAGGCCGCGCGGGAGGCAGGCTGCGTCGGGCCCGGCGACTTCGCCCGACCCGCATGCAGGACATCCGCCAGGACAGCAGCCCAATGTGGATCGCGATGGACCCTGGGAGTGCATGCGCGCGCGCCATCGCTCACGTCAATGAGCCGCGGGTGGCCGCCCTCGCCAAAGCCCCGCCAAAGGCGCCGGGGATCGTCCCGCAGAAGGCGTCTCCGGCAGGGGCACCGCCGGGCACCACCAGGGGCGCCACGCCTTACTGATTCCCAAACCCGCGCCAGAGGGCCTCCCCGACGGCCCCCACCGGCGCCCAAACAATGCTCTGCGCCCCATCCGAAATCGCCGCCCCTGCCCGGGATCCCGAAACCCGATTGACTTTCAAGACCCTCCGCCCTCCCCCCCCGCGACCAATAAACCAAATCCATTCCGCGAACTCCACTGCCCCCGGCCCCGCGCCGCTCGCCCCCGGGGACGATCCATCGGGCGCTCACCGGCCTCGTAGCCCTTCCCCGCCACCGAGCAGCTCAGCTTCGCGGGCCCCGGCGCCAGGATCCCCTGTTCGATGAGCGTCTGCAGGCTGACGAACCTGCTGCGCGCCATCGCCCGCCTGCCGCCGATCGGGCCTCGCGGCGGCCGGCGGGGGGGCCCGGCGGCCAAAATATGTTTTGGCTGGGGGCGCCTCGGGGGCCAAGCGCTGCCCGGCGGGGAGGCCTCTCCGTAACTCTTGCCTCCGGGGCTGCCTTCTTTGGGAATTGGTCCGGCACCGGCGGGGTACCGCGGGCCTAAAGGCGTGCGCCAATGGCCCCCTGGGGCATGGCGGAGGGGGAAGGGTTTTTTGAGCCATTGCTCGGGTTAATGTGCGCAGTGCTGGCTTGCTTGGGCTGGGCCGCGTGTGTCATTTTGGTGCTTGACTGCAGTGTTTTGCGGTCATACTCAACGAGAGCGTCTTTTCTGTTGGCGCCAGTGTCATGGCGGTGCTATTCAGTCGTCTAAATGGCACCGCGTGTCAAAAAGCTATCATTAATGGCCATGGCGCTGGCCGGCTTGAGCCAGCCTGCGTGTGCCATTTTGGTCCTCGACCGAGTGTTGCGGTCGCAGTTGGTGAGGATCTCTACGGGTGGGATTGCCCGAGTGTGCCATCGGGGCAGTCGCGGTTCTCCTTAATTTTGGGCGTTTGTTTTCGACCTAACGGACAGCTAGCTCGCCGGCGCTGCTGCAGGCCGTGAATACCATTTTGGTGCTTGACTGCGAGGGCAGCCGCAGGCATTTTTTGGATATTTCCGCGGGTAAGGCGCATGAGAGGATGGTCGCCATCGCCGGGCGCTTTCCAATTGAGCAAGGGCGCTGGGCCGCCACCCTTCTCGTCATGCGTGGCATGCTTCGCTGAGCTGACTGGAAACTGGCCAAAAAATGGCAAAAAAACTGGCAAAAAAAACTGGCCAAAACTGGCAGCGTCAAACTGCATTTCTTTCCACGGAGTGCCATGAAGGCGCACACCTCTGCAAAAGGCGCCGCGTGTCGTGTCACCCCCATCCAATTGCCGACATACTTGTGAACGCTTGCCAGCCCGCACGGCCGACCTTGCAGCGGTGGGCCTGACGCCCCCAAACGCCGAGATTCCGGGAGCTGAACAAGGGAGATTTGAAGCGGAGTCCAGTAGGCAGGTTGGCAACGAGGTGAAACCCAAGCTGCGTCGCCCTGATTGTCCTCGAGGCGTTTCGCCAGTTCCTCAAGCTACGTTTTGCGTATATTGCACATGGTTATTTGAGCGAAGGGCCTGGTGTGCCTCCCGAGCACACATCATCACATTTGGATTCGTTTCTGCCCCACCGAAACTCGCAAGGCAATTCTAACAGCTGGGCCCCTTAAGGCCAGGATTCTCCTCAAAAATGCGATCTGAAATTGAGACAGAACATGGCAATTCGGGCGCAAAAGAAGACGCTGGACTAGAAAATAACCAGTTACAGAGGCAAAAGCTACTCTTCATTCATCAGGTCCATGCCACCAAAATCATTCAATTCAGATGTTAGGACACTGAACACTTTTTTCTGGTGTGGTCGAATGTTGGGTGAAGCCTCACATCGAACCTGGCGTTGCGAAAGTTCGTACCCTGAGCGCCCCCTGAGTGCATTTGTTCTTGGTTCGTGTTACAAGTTAGTGTGTGCTCATCTTCTCGCACTGGGACACTCTGTTCCGTACTGATGCAGGCCTTAGACACACTTGCTGAGGAGGGAGTGCTTTCTCGCAGGACCCAGTTCCTTTCGGCATTTATCCATTCTTGTGGCCACCACTGCTTGTCCCCCTCGCCTCCCACCCCGGCCCCCCAATCAGCGTCAATTTGACGCTGAGCGCAACACAATCAACACCGTGCGTCCCCTCGCAGGATGGGTAGCTGCATTGTGTGGGGACAAGTCATTCTACGCCACTCAGGTTGCAAAAACGCTGTTGCATGCCTCCTATATCACCTGTTTTACAACAAGTACAGGTATGGAATGAGCAAAAACAGCAGAGAACAGCATGGCCCCTGTGCGTATCTACAAAACCAAAAAGCAACAGGACACTGTCGCAACACAATTGGATCGGCGCAGCGTCTGCAAGTGCGCGGCCATCTCTTGCTCCATTGTGCCCTGTGGCGGAGCTCCCACAACCATTCCAAACCGTCACCCTGCCCACCCCTTCCTTCCCGCATCGTCCAACCACCCCATTGACTTCGAATCGTTCCCTGGAGTGCAGCTGCGGTCTCAGCCCCCAATGAACTGCTACAGACAAACGCAACCAATAAATGGACACTCCAGACAGGTTTCCAAACACCTGCCCTGTAGAGCATCAGCAGAATGCATGAAAACAACTGATGATGAATTCCCCAAAACTCCTGCGTGTAATTTGCATTCGCAGCACGATGGCCTTGGACCAGGGATACAGCAGAGGCAACGCCGGCATTCGCACGTGTACTGTCATCATGCGTAGCAGGTCCTGTGCAGGTGCTATGCAGCAAGGCGATGTTCAACGCTCTTGCCACATGCCACAACCGCCATCGACACGGAAGCCAGTGTTACGAAGCTCGCATGCCATTGGGTGATTCACTGGGGGGCTTGCCTCCCTCCAACTCGGCATCTTCAATGTCTGCCTCATCCTCCTGCTCCACTGACCGCACCAGATCTTCCTTCTCTTTCTGGATCCTGTTAATCACCACAACCGCCGCCCCAGCTCGCTTCAGCTTGTACATAGGGCTCTTGTTCTCCAGATTCCGGCGGGCTCCCTCCAAGGGCGTGCTGGACACTTCACCAGTGATCCATTCGTGCTCAAGGGCCCCCCCCACAGTTAACCTATCCTTGGGGTCGACCATCAGCAGCTTCTTCACCATGTCCTTGCCGCTGCTCAGCACATGAATGACTGGAATAAGTGACAAGTGCATCACAAGCTGAGTACCACCTGCACTTCCCTTTTGCCAGAATTCACACTTGGACATGGCCATACTCAGCTGTCTCAGAATGAGATTGCGGCAGAACAATCGTGATGTCCAACTGCTCGCAGTTGCTGCTGCCAACCAGTCCAGCTGTTCAAGTCAAGTGGCTGTTCTCAAAGCACATATGGTGTCAAAGAAAGCTATAGCTTGGGAGGTACTGTCCATTTGCAGAACCCACAGTCCACTCACAGAGCATGGCTCACCTGTTAGACACGTTCTTCCACACAGCTTCCTCCATACTGAACTTTCCAGACTGGATCTTTGCATACATCACTGCTTCGTTCCTGTCATAAAATGGTGGGGCCCCTGACAACAGAATGAACATTATTACACCAACACCCCACATGTCCACAGCCTTGGTGTATTCTTTGACATCTTTCTTGATGACCTCCGGAGCAACATACTGTGGTGTGCCACAGACAGTTGTCATCAAGTTGACTGTGTGCCTGGCCAGGCCAAAGTCCACAATCTTGACTTGATTTATATCGTCAGGCTTGCCCAACATCAGATTCTCCAGCTTCAGATCTCTGTGAATCACGTTCCTGCAAAATGCCATGCGCAGCTCTCAACATTTTGAATGTGTGTACATCCCCAGAAGACAGGTTCTTGCTGACATGCACCTGATACTAATGAACATGCAGTGCTGAGCAAGCAGATACTGCCTGCCTGGAAATTGCAAACACTGTGCACTGTGATGCAAACTACTGCTCTGCAAGCCATCGCTTGACCTCAATGCGGCATGGTGCAAGGACAAGATTCTGTATATGATGCATCTCAACATCCTTGCAATGCGTGCGAATGAAAAAATTTGTAATAGCTGTCACAGGCCCTCCTCCAAGAATTTCTCCTCCTTCCAATGCAGGTATCAGAAACGTTAAGGAGGCCATGCGTGAAATGGTATACGTAGTAAGGCACTTTTGTGCCCGTGCTGAATGAATGAGAACAGCAAGATGCGACTCTACCCTCCCCCAGTACCGTTCCTCATGATCACCCAACAAGTACCCTCGCACGTGCGCATGGAACGGTTAGCATTGGTACCCAGCGTGAGATGGACAGGAGATCATGGTCTCGGTCTCTAGGCTCGCCTGGGTTGGCGTTCAGCTGAAACCACACACAATGCCAGCAGCAGGCACATGGGGAAAGTGCGTTGGTCAGGTGACAACTTGTGCATCAATGCATTGGGCGGTGCCCCAAAACTCTTCCATGTTGAACGCCCAAATCCTGAAACACCAACAAAGTGCACAGCTGCCAGCAGTCGCACATGGAAAGTGTCGGTCCAAGCATGCGCAACTGCTCCACAAAAACAGGAGATTGTGTGCTCAGGGCACCAGGTGCAGTGGCCGCAATACAACTAACCACAAGCACGATTACAACAATGCACAACACAGTCCCAAGCGAAGCTCACCTTTCGTGCAAATAGGCCAAGCCCTCCAGAAGTTGCTTCATGATGAGCTTGGCATCTGCTTCAGTGTAGTGACGATCTGTGCGCGAGAGCAAGGCATCAAGCAACTGACCCCCCTCCAACAGCTCAGTGATGAGGTAAACCTGGGAGCAGCAGCAAGAAAGTGCTGTCATGAGAACATCCCCAAACTTGTGAAGAATGAAAACACTATGCAGCCAAGCGGCTCAAGCCCACTGTTAAATTAATGGCCAATGCACGAGCAAAATCCTACTGCCATACTCTTAACATAGGCAACTGATTTTCGCATCTGCCCTGTTGAATGCCAACAAGAACACCCCATCGGTCCTCAACAAACAACTGGCAACTCTAGACGTGCCTGATCTTTTCATTGATTAATCAAGTGTCCTGCAACTGCAGGTTCCACAGCGTCCTGTTCTGAAGCAGCACAGAGCACAATGAGCAATTTACCTTTGTCTTGCTCAGAAAGAACTCCTTCAGAGCCAGTATGTTGCGATGATTTGTCCGGCTTACAATTTCAACTTCCTTCAGAACCTCCTCCCTGCAATCAGACGATGCGCACACTGGCGTCAAAGAGAGCAATTCTGCCATCACATCTGCTGTCAGGATTTTACCTCTTCAAGCTGACACCCCTGAGCAAAGTCCTTATGTCTGTTGCCCCATGCTCACTTCACTGCACCATGTGCTATCAGTGCACTATTCACTGCTCCCCGCTCACTTCACTGCATATGTGTTATCGGTGCACTGTGCACTGCTCTCAAGTCAATATGCCCAGCTTACTGAACTATTTTTGTCGAAACAACCAGTTCTTCCCAGCAACACCACAGACCATGCCATCATAATAAGATGGTTCCAAAGTCGCAGGGAATAGGTTGGTGCAGGAGCGCCACTCGTGTGACAGACCATGCAGCTGACATCGCCTTCCAGCGGGCGCAAGGATTGCGTTTTGCATGCACGCAACCATTGACCAACATTTGTAGGCTGCCCACCTTGACATCGTGTCTTCATCGAGCAGGGCGTCCTTTGCAGGAAGCGACATAATTTTGCAGGCAAATCTTTGCCCAGTTTTCTTCTCAGTGGCCATCATCACAGCAGCAAAACCTGCCAGGCCACACGAGAGCTCAGGCTGATGTACTTTTCAGATCTATCAGCAGTATGGTTGCCCGCGCGAGTACACACCAGCTCCATTGTAGAGCTAGGAAACCCACCTCCAGTCCCCAATGTTCTCCCAAGATGATAGGAGTCCTTAACTCTGCCTTTTTTCCGCTTGGGCCTGCATGTGCAAAACGTCTGTCCTTAAAAGACAGCAATACTGCAAGCACCAAAAAAGCAGAGTCCCAAAGGAATCGCATCAATGCCAAAGATCATGTCGAACTGTGAATCGCATCAATGCCAAAGATCATGTCGAACTGTGAACAAAGTGAATCGCTGTGCAGTCAGTTGGCCAGTGGGTTGCTGTTGACAGTGGCACAACCAAAGAGGGCTAATGCACCATTGCTACTGCGTCTGGCAACCCCTCCTCCATGGTCCATTGCTTGACTGACGATCACCAACCAATCCAGAATGGTAGTCCCACACCACACTTTCCTTCCCAGATACCAGACCCCAAGGCAAAGGTGCAACACACCTCTGTCACATGCCACTCCCTGTGTGCTCTTACGTGTTCCATTTTAGACATTAGCATGGCAATGAGGATATTTGTGTGGTTCTCCTTGTGTGCTGTTGTGTGCTCTCATGCGTTACAATTTAAGATATCAGCATGGAAATGTGGATATTTGCATTGATATGAGTCCCTTGACAATTCGTGCTCAGCATAGGGTGTGAGGAATGAGTACAACAGGGAGGCGTGTCACACAACGGCCCTCCCCTTCCTCAGCAAGAAAGTTGGTGGGACTCAGTTCTGTTCATGGGGGGGTGATGCAAATGCTTTGAAGGGAGGGCCACGACATAACACACTGTGCCGCGGGCATAGCAACACAACGTGCACTGAGGAGTACCCATTTCATGTGTTCCTTTCAGTTGGGGGACGGAGGCTTCTGCATCGCCACGTACGACACGGCACGGACGAAGGGAACTGAACCTCATAAGAACACTCGCTCAAGAGGTGCCCAATTCCCTTCCGGCAACAGATAATGTTCAACGCCACCACTCACGACGCCAGCACGCGAGCCTCCACCTCCTCCAACGGCCCTTCCGGCAGCCTCGGCAGAGTCTTCGTCACCAGCGCATCAGGCACTTCGCTCTGCGCAAGGCCGAACAGCGAAGCGTGAGATCCGTGGGCTCACTCACGGGAACTTCTCATTTTGAAAATACACCGTGCGCTCGACCGGCGGTGACCAGGGCGCGGTGTTGAAAAAAAAAACAGCTTTCCGAGGGCCCCATACAGTCGCCGTGACCGCATCGGGCTTCCCAAGCCGCGCAACAAGCGTTCGAAGGCGCTGTTCAAGAGCAGCCGTTCGGGCAGCGGACAATCCTCCGGGCAACGAACAATAGTTCGAGGAGCAGATGATCTCGCACCGGACGTTGCCGTGTCCGTCGTCGTTAAGCCGCGAAGGCTTTGGTTGACGTGCGTTTTTGATGATCAATGCCAACGGCATGCACAAAGACGCGCACAGACCCCCAGGCTGGCGGGCAAAAGTGTCAGTACCTCATCAGCGTCGTTGCGCGTCCCGGATTCCTCCGCGTTCCACCCGCACAACACCTGCCACCAAGGCACGAGGGACAGGGTAAGATTTGTTGCAAGGAGAAAGAAAATATGTCATATGAAGGGCGGGCCCTCCTAAACGGGCGCGCGTGGGATCCTTTCCACACTGTGAGAAGATTTGCAGAGGCTCCGGGCCCCTCCTAAACGGGCGCGCGTGGGATCCTTTCCACACTGTGAGAAGATTTGCAGAGGCTCCGGGCCCCTCCTAAACGAGGGCGCGTGAGACCCTGCTCCATCCTGTGAGAAGATATGCAGAGGCTCCGGTGCAACAAGGAGAGCACACAACACACGAGAGAAAGCGTGATGAGGGAAGGAGTGACGAGGAAAGGGGGGGGCGTTGCTTTGCGCCGCTCTGCCCCGGCTGCCCGCCAAGCTGCGGTGGCGCTTCCCAAAGATCCCCGCAAAAGAACTGCCTCGCTCCCTTTCCCAGGCGTCGGCAAAGTCTGGGCATCGAACCGTGCTCAAGCACGCCAAGCCGACTCGCGTGTCAATTCCAAGTGGCCCTGCCGCGACAGGGCCCCTAAACTATGGCCCTTGGACGACGTCCACAGCGCCCCCTCGAAGCGGGAGGGCGGCGCAAAGCCGCGTCCGCGGCTATCACTCTCCGCTTCGCTAGTCGTACCCAATTGCCCAGCGTCTTGAGCTTCCTCCCCATGGCTGCTGATCAAACCCCTGGGGCCCAAGCCCTGGGGCCGCTGCCCTGGGCGGCCGGTGCGCGGCGCCCGGTCAAGCCAGCAGGCCGAGGAAAAGCCCCGTTCGGCGGCGGCCCGCGCTGGCCGAATAGCACCCGGCGGAAGGGGTGTTGGGACTTCACACTGTTCCTGACTTTTCCGGCAGGGATGTCCTGGCCAATATGCAGCGTCACACGCCCGTGGGGAGGCCCCAGGAACCTGGCCACTTCTCACAAATTCTCGAAGCGAATCCGTCACTGAAATCTCATTCCCATTCACTCATGCTTGGGTCACTCTTTGTGTACTGGGCCGCTGGGTCGGGCAGAAGCGGCCCGTGGCCGCCTCCGCCCCACGGAGGCTGCTGGGCAGGTGTGCGAAAAACTTGGAGATGGTGGAGGGGGGAGTTGGGAGTCCTGGCGGGCCTCAGGGCACTTGCACTGTCGCCGCCTGTCGCCAAAGGGGTCCCTGCATCTGACGCGCGACCGCTGAACGAAGCAGGTGATGTTTGGAAGCAGGGTTACGCAGCACCCCTTGCCGACCTGGAGCCTGGGTTTGCACCCCGTTTAATGTCACACGAGGAAGATTGCTGGAAAGGCCGTGAGGCGGTGGTACATGCAAAAGGCGCCGAACATTGCACGACTCACACTGCGAGTGCGAGCATCGAGCACGTAAAGGCAGAAGAGCGAGACGAGATGGCTGTGAGTCCACAGCCACCTCATCTTGCTCTTCTTCCTTTGCGTACTCGATGGCCGCGAACATGCGGCTCTTTGTGACTGCAGGGAGCAGCGGTAGCTGCTCCAATACTGTTCACAAAGTCCAATTGCTTTGGCCCACACATTGCCTGTACCTGATAGCATACCTCAACACTCAGTGTGCACACGCAGGTTCCTGCACACAACAGATTGCGTGCTCTTTCGCAGCCACAGCCACAGTAGGCGCCTGTTGGACACCCAACTTAACAGAGTGTTGAGCTCGCTGTTAGTCAGTGTGCCGCATCAGCACAATGATGGGCTCGTGGCAAAAGGCAACTTTTGGAGAAAGGCAGAATTCGTGGGGAAGCGCTGGCCCCCTCATCAAAAACTAATGCGATCAGTGCTGGATAGGTTACTGAAAATGTAAGCCATATTGCAACTGCTGAATGGCTACAGAATAGGCCAAAAGGGGCAGTCATTCTGCTTCGAAAACGCCTCCCATTCATGGCAGAATTCTGGGCAGAACATGCAGTTTCAAGAGCGCCACAATGGTGGGGTGCAGTTGGGCAGCAATGTTCAACCAATAATGATGATTGAGTGAACTGGCGAGTGTACGAATGTTGTCCCGCACCGTGGGGTGCGCGTCCGCGGTTGCCATCATGTGTCATATGTCATGGTATACGGTGTCGTACGGCAACCTTGGACGCCGAGCCGTAGCGCACCTCAGAGGCGCACGCATGGCGGCGGCAACTTGCGGCGATGCGCTCGGACATGGGTGCAAGAGCATGGCTGCCAAGGCTCGATGACGATGATGATGATTATCAGGTGGACCGGTCTTTCTCGCGTACGCTCGGATACGGTCGCTCCCAGGCACGGGAAGCAAAACCGCAACCGGGTGCATTACAGGATGAGTGTATCGACTAAATATCAATCACTGCAATAATGTTCACCTTCCCCATCTCCATTGTCCCCATGTATACTCACCATAACACCATATTCGCTATATTTACCTTTCACCATCAAAATGCGCCATATATAATATGTTATACATTAACCGTTCGCTTGCCCTCACAATGATGATGGCGGAATTACAAGGGCTACGTTGCGCTCCTTGCATGGCAGCGGTCTGCCTTGCTGTGCATGAAATGCCGTTCGTGCCCACGAGGGACTTCAATGAGCCCAAGGGCCACTCAAATCCACGACATACGGGACTGCTAGGTGCGGCCTGCATCTAAAGGCCTGCTCAGCGATAGGTGGTGTGGGCCAGGCGCTGGCGCCCATGGTGGAGGCATGGGAGAGCAAGCGAGGGCAGGCTCAGGCGAATGGCGGGCAGCAGGATGCCATGGAATCGAATCAGAAGGGCGCTGATGTGATCATGGAAGCTGCGGGGCAGTCATGCTCATAGCGTAATGCGAGTCTAGAAGTTTCTGGACATCTGAAAGGTTTGGAAAGAATCAATACTAACGTGGGGGTAACAGCTTAAGAATCATTTGGTTAATCGATGAGGATCTTGGGAGGTTGTGGAAGGTTGTGGAAAGACTGGTCAGTCTATAAATAGAAGGGGGCTATCGCCATAGCGTTCCAAGATCCAGCAACCCAGCAGTCCTTGCTCCGCGTGGCGATTGATGTCGGACGAGCACAGAGACATTGTAAGGTTGGACTGAATGTAACATTGGTTTGTGACCGTTGATTCCGTGTATCTTACCTTGTGCTGACCCTGGATCAAGTGTGTGTGAAGGGAGATCGCTGTAGGCGATCATATTCTTTGTGATCATGTGAAGTCTAAATCGCCAGGGCGATCATTGTGCTATGCCAAATGCGCAGCTGAGTGCCGGCAAATCATGTGAGGCGTGCACGCACTGCAATGGGCTGGAAATCCGGGGATGGGTTGTGCAAATCCTGTCGAAAGTTGAACCGCATGTCTGAAAATTCCATATGAACTGGTCCTGGCGCGTTTTGAACATTCCTCTAGTGCAAACATATCCCGAAATCGAATTCAAAACGCAGCCAGGTATCCAGTCCTGTTTGCGAGCAGCAGGGCTAGTCCCACATCCCAGAAAATAATTTGTTGTGACTCCGAGAAATTTTGGAGCGCCTCATTGTGTGTGAACATCTAAGTGCCGTTTAAGTCCAATCGCTTTAAGCGATCGGCTTTGAGAACGTGGCAGGGACCAAGTCTGAGAGCGTGGACACTTCCCCAGTGTTGTACAGCGTGTGGCATGTCGATTTGCGACCTGTAAAGTGATCGTGACGTTGCATGGCGTTTGCATGAGGAGTTGGTGAATAGTGATCATGAGAAAGCGAACGTTAGACGATCTCGAAGCACACAGTTGGCTGTGATGCGCAATACCGACGTGGAAGTTCGGCTGCAACAGGCAGGGCTTGCTGGTGGAGATATTTTGGCTTCAATGATCAGCCTTGTTTATGCACGAACGCTGAATTGAGGTGTCTCGCGTCGCCAGCACATGTGCGAGGAAGTGGAAGGCTTGGCTCCTCACATCAGTGAGGCAGCAGCAGCAGCTCATCAGCCCTAATGGGCAGCTACACATGGAGGCTGCTTTAACAAGAGCGAAATATTTTCCTGCCATTGGGCAGACCCTCCGTGGAGTGTTGCTCTCTGTGAGCACCTCTGCAGGTGGGGTTGGTGATGAGTATGGTGATTGTGCATTGCGTCAAAAGAATCCACACGAATGCACCACAAACAGAGACTTCAAGGATTATTTTTGTGCCTCTAATCCCTGTTTTGTTCATCTTCTGCCAATTACCATCTCTGGACGAAAACTAGTGGACAGAAACATCGATGATTGCAAAATGTTGTGTGCCCTTTGCCCCATCTCGTAATGGGACTGGTGTGGTTAACAATTTCTTATCAGGGAGACATGTGGATGGGCTGCCAACGCACCACGACATTCTGTGAGCTTCAGGCCGCCAAATATATTCTTTGCAGCCAGACTCCTGGCTGCCGCCGACCGGCTGGTCCACAGACTACATTTGAGCTTTGGGGCAACGGATTTTGTACACACCAGGCACGCTTTAAGGGAGAGCCAAGGCTTGGCTTCAAGCGGGCGGCCTTGCTGGGATTGGTCAGATTGTCAGGTGGCCTGCTCAAGGCGAGCCTGACGACCACCACGTGTCCTACTTGCTTCGCTCCATTTTGCTGGCCCAACTGCACTCCACCGAATGGACTCCAAAGAATGCCTAAAGTTGCTCCCACTCAACCCTCCCTGGCCATGGGCTGGGTGCACTCCTGTCCGCCCCATTGTTTAGCGGCAAGAAAGACAGCCGTCACTGTCACTGTGCAGCGGGAACGCATTTTTTTCATCGCCATGCTCGGCAGTCTGCTGACAGTTGTCCAGTCCAACTGTCGGCATGGCGGTTTAGTCTTCTGCTGGTTTCCTAGTCGCTGCTCACCGTACTTCGGGAAGACACTTTTTTTGAATTGATACGCTTAGCGTCAATGGACATTACGCTCAGACCCCCCTTAGTGTCAATCCTTATTTCGACGCCAGCATGACTCAGCAGCATCGCCTAACGGCGCAATAACAGCTTGGAGAACTTTTTACAGGGAAAAATACAGCCAAGTTTAGTGATTGTAGTGGGTCGAAAATGAAATGCTAAAGGCCATGATAGGCGATGGAGGCAGCCCCAAAAGGCTGCAAATTGATACTGTTCTGAGGACTTCCTTGAAGATTGAAAATTTGAGGGAGGTTTTTGGAATAGTTCATGAGCTCTCTGACGCTGATCAGCTGCGTTTACTGAAAACGTAAACCATCTTCATACTTTGTTTTGATTTTAGCGTAATTACGCAATGTCTTAGCGTCCCTGGCCTGGAATTCCCCCCCCTCCCCCAGCGCCCATTTGACGCTGAGCGCATGCAGTAAAAGACAGTGTCTCCCCGTGTTCCCCGCAAGCTGGTCATGGCAAGCGCCCCAGTAGTACCTTGCAGTACACAAACCATTGGCACCCGCCCATTGGCGGGCTCCTTCGTCTTCCCGCGCGTTTTCAGCCCTCGAGGCCGGCCGGAGGGCCCCAGGGGGACGCCGCTCAACCGCGCACCCATCCGGAGCGACAAACTGCCCGCCCGCCGCACCGACCGATGCTGAGGCGGGCCGCGAGTCGCCTCTCGCGCGGCGCGGTGTCGTCGCCATGGCCGTCCGCTGTGCAGGTGAGGCCCCCGGGCGGTAGCCCCGGCCAGGGCGGTGCCAACAGCCCATTTCGCCTCCAGCAATAGGCATCGAATCTCGTTTCCCCGCCGCGCCCTTTTGACGCGCTTTAGACTTGAGATTGTGGTTGGGTAGTGTGAGAGCGAGGCCTGTTTGTGTGTTGGGCCGGGCGCATTTGGTGTGAGATTGAAATGGATTGTTTGGATTGTGTCTGTGCGTAGGTTGTGCGAGGGAGTGAGGCAGTTGTGTTTGTGTTTTTGTGGGCCAGGCGCGAGGCCTCATGGCGTACGTGCCCTCCCCGGGGGACGGCGCGGCCAAGAAGGTGACGCTGATTCCGGGAGACGGCGTGGGGCCGGAGCTGTGCGACAAGGCGGTGGTGCCGCTGATCGAGGCACTGGGCGCGCCGATCGAGTGGGAGAGGTGCGGGCAAGGCTGGGCTCTTGATCGCTACCCTTTGCTTTATGTTGATTGCCATGTCGGGATCTTGGCCACAGCTTGCCACCTGGGCCGATCGCGCCTACCTATTTGTGAGAGGTGCCTTTCGTGGTCATATCCTTGGCGCCTGTTACGGTAACACAACGACGGGGCAGAGCGTGGATGCAACAACTCTTGATTGGTAGATTGATTCTCGGGCCTGCTGATTGAGATCGCAGTCAAACTTTGGCGTCACCTCGCTGGTGGGACCTCGCAGTCAAACTTTGGCGTCACCTCGCTGGTGGGACCACGGCGGAGTGTTTTTGCGCTGGGGGGACGGACGCGGAAGTTGGCTCGCGGGTTGGCGGCAATCTGTGTTTCGCGATGCAGCCAAGCGCGCCCACCGACAAGGCAGACTGGGATGGAGCCCAGTGTACAAACTGGTGCTGTGCGCCAAATCTGAGTGCGCCATATCCTAGTACTTTCCAACAATGTATGCACAGCGCAAAGCATTGGATAAAAAATGATCGTTGGAATAAAACGACCAGAGAACCATGGACGCACATCCCTAGATTGCCGTGCACCAACTGTTGGGACGATTCGGCGTTGTGTGTTTGTTCAAGTGTCGTGCAGCCCATCGTGAATAGTGCAGCTGCAAGGGAAGACATGAGAAGAGAAAATGTACCCTGTCCAATAATGCTATCCATCATGCTGAAACTTGTCCAACTTGGAGTGGGAGAATGCAATGGATGTTGGGGGGAAGCTGACCAGACACGTCAACTTTCCCAAACCACAGCAATCATTGTCATTTCCTCTCGTCAATCCTTGTGAGCTGGACTCAGTGTGCAGCAGATATCCCATGTGCCCCCTCATCTGCACTGCTTTCTGCTTGTGAGTTGCTGCTTGGGCCACATCCTGGCTAGAAGCGTTATTGATTACAGCAATCGGAACATGACAAATCAGGGCACTTTCACCCATTGATCGATGTCAGACGCTGCTTGCAAGTGCACTAGGCTGGCCCCTCACGTGTCTGTACTTCTGTTTCCCACTGAAGTAGGCCTCGCTACTTTGTGCCCTTGCATGCATGCATTCGTTTTCCTTTGCAGTGACACTTGCTTTTTGTGTGGTTAGCTTTGCCAGTGCCATCGAGGTCATGCCAGCTGAAGGCTGCTGATCTGGCAGGCGTTTGAAATCATCGACTCTGTTGATGCACTAGGTTTGACGACATATCAGGGGCCAACGAACATGGGGAGCCACATGAGGAAGTCCCAGCGCATGTGGTGGAGTCGATCCGAAGGAACCATGTTTGCCTGAAAGGCGTCCTTTACACACCTCTGAGCAAGACAAACACCAGTACACAGTCGTTGAATGTCCAGTTGAGAAAACAACTAGATCTGTCGGTGAACCTCATCCATGGGTTTTCAATCCCTGGAATCAAGACTCGTTTCGACGACATCGACATTGTTGTGATCAGGTGAGTTTGCTTGGCAAGCCAGGAAGAAACCTCGAGGGTGATCCACGTCATCGCGCTGCCACTATCAATTAGACCGAATAGCCAGCCCTGGTGGATTTCCGTTCTTGTCGTTGGGATCTTTTCGAATGCCCATGAGCTTCTGTGCATTGTCTTCTGGCTGCAGAATACATCCAGGCAGCTGTTGCTGGCCTGAATGCTAAACTTGAAGGAGCTGTCACAGGCTTTGGACGAGTGTCTGTCAAAAGCATGCAATCGTGTGTTAGCTCATTGCGAATACTCCTACATCCTGTACTGCTGCTTTAATTCCCTTGGTATGACAAGCCTGATGTGCTCTTCGCGCGCAACCCAACAGACGATGAGCCCATTGTATGGCTGAACAGGGAGAACACAGAGGGAGAGTACAGTGGCCTCGAGCACGAGGTCGTCCCAGGAGTTGTGGAGAGCTTGAAGGTCATAACAGAAAAGAAGTCTTTGCGAACCGCTGAGTACGCCTTTGAATTCGCCTTCCTGAACAGCAGAAAAAGCGTCACGGCGGTTCACAAGGCCAACATTATGAAAGTGGGCGACGGCGAATTTCTAAAGGTACAGATGCATGTTTCCTAGTGTATCCGTGTTCCGCTCGTTCCATTGCGGACGTAAGGTCAGGGAGACTGCTTGTGAGCGAACTGCTGCCGGTGACGGCCAATCGCTGCACGCAGTCGAAATGCTGACCCTGTCGGATCTGTTTTGCGCCTGAGGTTTGGCCACAGCAAGTGCGTTTGAATGTGGCTTGTGGAGGCGGCCAGCGGGTCTCAGGGGCAAGGCCTGATTCGACATTTGGATTGCGCCCATGTTGAGTTTACAGAGTTGTTGGCGAGAAAGAAGCGGCTGTCCGGATCCAACACTTGATTCCTTCCGCACGTGGTGCCTGCTGTGACGCTCTGTGCTCTTTCCGTCACAGGCGTGCAGGACTGTGGCCGAACGCTATCCCAGCATCAACTACAATGAAATGATAGTGGACAACACGTGCATGCAGTTGGTCAGCAGGCCCCACCAGTTCGACGTCATGGTGACCCCCAACTTGTACGGCAACCTGGTGTGCAACATTGTGGCGGGCCTATGCGGGGGCGTGGGGCTGTGCCCCGGAAGCAACATAGGCGACGGGGTGGCCGTCTTCGAGCAGGGCGCGCGGCACGTCGCAAAGGACTTAACGGGGAGCGGCATGGGGAACCCGACGGCGTTGCTGCTGAGCGCCGTCATGATGCTGCGGCATGTAAAGCTGTACAACTTCTCTGACAAGTAAGTCGCGTGCTGTGCCGCGCGGCCGTGCTCTTAGAGGCTAATCTTGGAGTGTGCTGTCCGTTTTGTCAGGATGCATTCGTTCATTTGTTCGCACGAACGCGCCCCTGCCAACTACTGTTCTCCGACATCTGGCGGAAGGCGCTCTCAAATGTGAGGGCGTGGGATGCCTGGACATGGAAATCACCACCCTTTCGCTCATTGGGTGATTTCTGGACTGAACCTTGGTGGGCGGCACAAATCGCTGTGCCTATGCTTGGGCGCGGCATTCTATCCTGGGGTCAGCCACTGAAGCCTCTCCCGTAGTCGAGTGCAAGATGGGCAGCAGAGTGCATGTCTGGATCTGTCACAAGAGTGACAGAAAAGTGTGTGACATGTTGGAGCTCCCCTCTTGGCTGAAATCGACACTCGATCCACCTGTGCTAGCATCATTCAGGTGCGTTCCCCCGAGAAGGCTTCAGCGCAAAACCGCGTGCAATGGACGTTAGGAAATCGGCGTCCGTGTGAGTGGACGACAGTGCTTGTGTGGTAGCTGAAGAGCCGCTGCACAATTCCCCGAGGCTTGGACATTTATCAATGCTTATGTCTTTGGACCTTTGCCGCGGGATTATGGTTCGCGAACTCTTGGTTGAGCCAGGGTCAGTTTTGCATTCTTTATGGCCTGTGCTCTTGTCGATTGCGTGGCGTGTGTGCGGATGCCCAGGCTAGAAGAGGCAATCATGCAAGTGTACGAGGATGCAGACATGACCAAATTGCCTCGGGACGTGGGAGGCACGGCCAACACAGAAACCTTCACAAATGCTGTCGCCTCGAAGCTCAGCTGACGCCGCGGCACGATGCTGCTGCTGTGAATGATGTTATTGAGTTGGGCACGGGTAGTACACAAGAAACAAGCCGGAGTGTTGTACAGCTGAAACGGCAGCTGCCAGCGGTGTTCGGGACATTGATTTGGGACAGTCCGCAATTCTGCGAAAGCGTGAGCCCATCCAAGCAGGTCTCATGGCGTGAAGGTCCCCATGGTCTCGCCAGATGCACTATGTGGTCTAACTCAATGTGCCAAATGATGCGGCGCTGGCCGGCAGCATACCCTGAAAGCCAGCTTATATCTCGTCCTGGCTGGTCCCTCTAACATTCACACTGCCAAGGAAAGCGGTCAGCGTCCCCGGTCTCGGCCAGCCATGCATCGTGGCTGGCGACCTTTGGCACCACGAGCACCCCCTGCCGCCAAAAGTCCCTTCTGGCAGTCGTCCAGGGTAAGGCACTCAGACAATCTGGCAACATCCAGACTGGGTGATCAGTCCATGATTCATGATGGGCGCCAGCTCCATTACACAAAGGTGGTCGTCCATTCAACAAAATTTCGCCCATACATGGGTCTCTGCGCCGTTACAACACCACTGGCTGAACGGGATACAGGTGAATGAACAGTGCGTGTTCCATGCGCCACCCCACATAATACAGTGGTATAAACATGTGTGACAACCAAGCGATGGCTTTCCCACAGGCGGCGCTGTCGTCATCATGCTGCGGGCAATGGCCTTCGTGCACAGAACCCAACATATCCTGCAGAACGGGTGGGTTCTCACGTGCACTCCCTAAAAAGCAACCTACCACGTCCACGCACACCTGCAGGTCATGGCGGAGCATCCCAGCCTTGTCAGAATCTCTCAACCTGCATCAACCAACCTGTGTACAGCAGCGACCAATTTCCCCCACTGGCATGCAACCTACACTAGCCCCCTTCCCCTCCAATTGGAATTTATGGTGCAAGCAGCAGACACAAAGCAGGCTGCCCAGCTGACGGCTTGCCCCTTTAAATCCCCCCTTGCCAAACCCCGAAACTGGACTGAGTGAGCCAGAGCATCCGAAGCCCTATGCAGCCTCCAAGACAAACGGCTGAACCTTCACCTGATGCAGCCAATGGACACACTCACGTGGCGCATGAAGGGACTGCAATGCACCCAGCTGTGATGTCGCGAATACTTGTAGATCATTTCAAATACTTCCCTGGCTTTCCCCCTCGCCAAAACCCCGAAACTGAACTGAGTAAGCCAGAGCATCCGAAGCCCTATGCAGCCTCCAGGACAAACGGCTGAACCTTCACCTGATGCAGCCAATGGACACACTCACGTGGCGCATGAAGGGACTGCAATGCACCCAGCTGTGATGTCGCGAATACTTGTAGATCATTTCAAATACTTCCCTGGCTTTCCCCCTCGCCAAAACCCCGAAACTGAACTGAGTAAGCCAGAGCATCCGAAGCCCTATGCAGCCTCCAAGACAAACGGCTGAACCTTCACCTGATGCAGCCAATGGACACACTCACGTGGCGCATGAAGGGACTGCAATGCACCCAGCTGTGATGTCGCGAATACTCGCAGATCATTTGAAATACTTCCCTGGCTTCCCCCAGGATGCCTCCTTTGCCGAGTCTTCCTCGGCAATGGTCAGCTTCTTCAGCTTGTTGATGGTCATGATCACATTCACTGCCTTCTTGAACTTCTGTGCATAGTTCTTTTTCAAGTTCTGCTGCGTGCCAGCCAAAGGTTCGTGGGAGACTTCGCCTGCAAGCCAGGGGTGCTTCAGGGACTCCTCCGCGGTCAGGCGCTTCTTTGGGTCGACGACAAGCAGCCTCGAAATCAGGTCCTTTGCACTGCAAGCAACAGACACACAAAATGAGCCACACCACAACCCGTGCCCCCAACTTTGCTACAGAATATGAAAGTGCTTTGAGTACGTTGCGCTGCTTTCGAGATATGAACACAAGGCCAGGCAAAAGAAGAAGAGACAGTTGGTATGTTTGCCAAGAATATCATGCTCTTCTTGCTCGCAGATTCTCAATCACACACGGTCAAAAGAAGGTTTCTGCAGCGGCCTCACTTTCATACAGGTCATTGTTCCAGCCACACATGGCATTCCACAGTTTGTGCTGCACATTGTGCTGTGCACCCTGCTGTGGTGCAAACAATATGCCCATGTGCACACAAGGCTGACACATGAGACAACAACAGATTGGCAGGTGTCGAGCCATGCTCAACCACAATTCTTTGGACAACGTGCCACATCAAGCGACCCAATTAAGGCTTTTGGTTTTTGTGTCATACCACCTGACAGTCTAAGAGCAATGACCTTTAACGCCTTTGTCTCCAACATTCACTGGCACTGACTGCACCGTCAAGGATAGCGCAACCCACAGATTTCCACACTTTCCAACCAGTGGAACAGACCATTCAGCCTGTGGCATGGACTGCACTTACGGTTCTGAAATGAGGTCCCACACTGCCTCATCGAAGTTGTAGTCGCCCCTCCGAATCTGCTCAAACATCTTGGGCTCATTCTCGCTGTGGAATGGAGGGTAGCCACCCAGCAGGATGAATAGCACCACGCCTGCACTCCACATGTCCACAGCAAATCCATATGACAAGCCCTGGACGCCTTGAATGACCTCTGGTGCCACATACTGCGGAGTCCCGCAGATCGTTTCCATCGATTTGCCCTGGGGCCCTGTCAGCTTTGCCAAACCAAAGTCGGCAATCTTTATGAGGGTGATGTCATCTGGTGTTGCCAAGAGCAAATTCTCCAGCTTCAGATCTCTGTGTGCCACACGCCTGCAGAAGACCGTCGTCCATCGTCAGTCCTCCATATATCATAACAGAATTTCATGAAATTTCAGCACTGCAGATACCCCTTCCGGAGAGTCCCGTGTAGAGGGCAAGCAACCATGGGTCGCCAGTTCTGGACACTGGCACCACCCTTCAGAACAATTAGCTCTGAAATGTGATATCACTCAAGGGGCTTCAGAACCTTGCAACTCACAGCACTCATAAACAGGGAGCAAGCAATTATGAAACTGCCAATTCTGAGCACTCAGATACCCTTGTGACAACTTGGTCCAGCATAAGGAACGTGATGTACTCCAGGGCCTTGCAGCATCCATACACAAGTGCCAAGAGGGTTAAATTCAACGACTGTGGCTCTCAGTGGGACACCAATGAGACTGAAAGCATGATGTGGCCACATACTTGCTGTGTAAATACGCGATCCCTTCCAGAAGCTGAACAAAGCATAGGCGTGCATCGGCTTCACTGTACTGGCCGCGTTCCAACACAGCATCAAGAACCTCTCCACCTGTTAGCAGCTCAGTGATCAGGTACACCTGAGCACAGAACAGCACGTAAACGACCAGTGGAGCCAAACAGGAGCCAAAGACTGTTGCAGGGGACAATGTGTCACAAGGCACACATTCCACAAAAGCAAGAATCCTAAAGACCCTTCCCCCCTTGCTGCCAAGAGTATGCATACTGTATTATATCCCAGCCATCGCCATTCTGCAAACTTAGTGTTGCCTTCTTAGTGTAGTTTTGTTTAGGATTTTCCCAAGCAGGGTCACCCTAATCTTTTGCTGCCATAAATTGCCACTGGAGGTGACAGAGGAGCAGGTGCAGAGGCTCAGTGGGCTTTATCAAATGCGTCGAAATGGCAGCGCCAGGAGTGATCGACCAGCTATTAACACTTTTGGGGGCAATAATTCTCAAAGGCTGCTGTCCAATCAGCGCATTTGCAGTGCACACTCATCAGGGGCCACTGACTGGGAGGCCTTGGGAAATATTCAAAGGAGGGCCATTGATTGTGCCCGCGTGCAGGCATTGCAGGAAGCAGCCAGCAAATAGATGTGATGTGTGGAATTCAAAGGACTGTAACAAGATGAACGTGCAGTTGTTGTGCACTCACAGGACATAAGCTGACAGGCCGGAAGGCATTCTCATGGTTTTGTGTCCTCTTTGAAGCTCGGAGCAACAGTGCAAAAGATGAAGTGCTGCTTGCACATGAACACAGGCGCTGCAAGGGAATGAGCAGTGGCAGTGGGAGGCAGTACAAAGAGGCCGATGTGTGCGACCAATTTGCAGCCAAATTCCACTCCACCCATGTCCACCACCCTTTCTGAATGCCAGCACATGCTGTTCCCCCCGATCGCTCAGATGCAAACGAATGGGCCATTCTGGGTCAGCTCTGTGCATCAGACCCATGAGCAACACTGTGGGGGGCTGCTGGCTGGGCGTTCTCAGGAGGGGTAGTTCAGGATGAACACCATTTTTACTTCAGTTGCTAAGCCGGCAAGGAGACAGCATATCCTGGCAATGCCAGAGGGTTGAATACAGTGTGGTTCAGGTAGGAGCTTCAGCAGGATGATTAGGCAGAACGTCAACCTGGTGTCAGACTCCACTTCAGGAACATTCCTACAGATTTCTAATCAATCAACACAACACACACCTGTCCCCACTGCACTTGTCACCCCACTCCCTCCTGCTACACCTGAGAGCCAATTGTGCCCTTGCAAATCCGCCATCACATGCATGCACTTACACATGCACAAGTACCCCAGCAGGCCGAACTTACCCGGTCATCGTCCTCAAAGAATTCTTTCAGGTACACAACATTCTTGTGCTGGAGGCCGCACAAGATTTCAATCTCCTTGAAAATGTCGGCCCTGCGTTCGCGCAGAACAGCAACCTCAGCGCTTCCTTGCATTCGACCCACGGGCGACGACGCACCAGCGGCGCGGGCAATCAATGCACAGCAATCAGCGCACAGCCGTGCGGCCCCAGTGCGCACCGTGTGTTTTCATTCTCCGACACGTCCGCACCCTCAGGAGGCAGGGTCATAATCTTCACGGCGAACTGCTCTCCCGTCTGCTTGTCTGTGGCAAGTTTCACGGTGGCAAAACCTGAAACGGCACACACCCCGATTCAGCACGAGAACCGCGGGCTCCCGCACCGCATCAGCCATCCCCGCCCGCCGCACAGCGAGGGCTAAGCGGCCGCGCCCCGAGGACAGATGCCCACCCTCCCCTGACAGATCATCGCAACTGCCCCCGGCCCGTAAGGCCGCTCTGCGCCCCCTCGGACGCAGACGATCGTGCACGCGGCCGCACACACGCGCCAACGCGCCCCACCTCCGGTTCCCAGCGTGCGGCCCAGTTTGTAGGCATCCCGGATTCGACAGTCGGTCCTCCTCTTGCCCCTGGACCGGCCAAGAGCGGCGTCAGTTCCGCGGGCTCAACGTGAGGCGCGCGAGCGGGCGCGGCAATGATGAAGGCATCCAACGATGAAGGCGATGAAGGCAGCCCGGCGCAATCTTACAGGGTCTTCACCCTCGACTCGACGTCCAGCCCGGCGACCACGGGCGGCTTGTCGGTGGGCTTGGAGGGCGGCGGGTTGCGGCTGGCCTTGGTGGGGCTCGGGGGGAAGGGGTCGCCGTCCTTGGGAGCACAGCAGCACCCGTAGACGGGGCCGCACAATCCCTGGCATGGCTTGCAGAGGACGGCTCCCATGCTCCGCGCCCGACGCGCGCGCGCTCCGCGCGCCCCGTCGCCTGCCGAAAGAGAGAAGCTGTGTCACACGCCCGCGCCACCACCCCCCTCCACCGTGTCCCGCGGTGCATGCCTCCTCCGATCCAGAACAAATCTCCCGCCCCGGAGAACCTTCCGCCCGCTGGCCGTTCGCGCGGCAATCCATTTTCCTCCGGCCGCGAGGAAAAATCGCACGGCAGGAAAGGCTCGAGAGGCGCGCCCGCCTCCGGCCTCGGCAGCCGCGTCCTCCCCACCCGGCCGCGCCGAGCATGCCCACCGCAATCCCTGACAAAGACCGTGCAGAAAAGCCCTTCCCCACAGGTCGCCCGCGCGCGGCAATCGATTTTCTCCTCCGGCCGGCCGCGAAATCGCCCACCGACTTTCCCCAGGCGCACCTCAGGGCCTCGGCGGCGGCGTCCTCGGGGGAGGGCCGGGCACCAAGCCGCGATGCCGGCGGCACAGCTGGCAGCCGACCAGTCTTTGCGGGCGGAACCCCGTCCGTGTCCGCAGGCCGGAGGCGAGCGTCGGGAGCGCGGGGAAGGGGGGGGCAAGTGCAGGGTCGTGCAGGTATCGATGCTCCCCGGGTTATGTCATGGCCCCGAAGGGAGGAGCTCTGGCTCCCCTCCAGTGGCGGGGCTCCCGTGGGCGGATTCTCCTGCCAGCCGCTTCAGAATTCCGTTAGAGGTGACAGATGTCGGGCGGCGGGCTCCGTATCTCTGGCGAAAATCGTAGGAGCCGCGCCCCCTTACGGGGCCGTGCGACAGGCCGGGCTCCTGCGCTGCCGCCTCATCAAATCCTTTGATTACATTTGTCAAACAGACGTGACGAATGACACGCGGGGTTATGTATGGGAAGAAGGAGTCTCGCACCTGCGACATGGCAGAACGTCGGTCAGCGCATGGGGTGGGTAATGACATTAACTATCTTGTTAATAGATTTCCACCCAGGACGACGTTGGGTGGGTTGCGCCGAGTTTCGAATCGGGCGCAATCGTATTCAAACGGGTTTCTGGCCCTTCCTAGTACCTTGGGTCAATCAAAGTACGGAGTGTCCAAGGGTCCGCCCGTTTTGGTGGCTTGGACTTGGCGGGCTTTGGCGGGGCTGAGCTAGGGGTGGCCACACTCGGGTGCCGTCCGCTCCGTTGCGTCCGGTTCGTAAAAGTGAGTGTGATATTCGTCCGGTAATATCCGGTCCGCTGTTTGCCATACTGCCGTCCGCAAAATCCGGTTCTCACTTTTTCTTCACCGTTATTTGCCATTAAATTAACGGATGACGTGTGCGGCGTCCGGTCCGTAACAAAATATCCGTTGATTAATAGTTTTGGTCCGTTATTACCCACAGGTACTTGCTTTCCAGCCACGGCAAGGTCAAGGCGAAGTTGCCAAAGGGTTTCCATTTTGCAGCTACTCGAATTATGTTGGTTGCATGCTTGATAAATGTGTGTGGGCGTTTTCCAGGTCATGTATTCTGCGGTTTGTAATACATGGAGTGATTTGGAGAACCGAACAACACACAAGCCGTGTGTAAAGTTCCAGTGTATGGCATACACTGGAACTTGCATGCATACACTGCATGCATGCAATCCTGCACCACTTGCTACGGCTGGTACTGCTGCGTACCACACTCCCATGGCAAGTCTTCCCGGCCATTGCAGCAAGGGTTCGGCATAGTTGTAATACCAAATGCGGACACACAAACACCCACATCACCTGAGGCAGGTGGCAAAAGGGTTCACCTCTGAACACAGTTGAGCCACTCAACATATTTGGGAACGGGTGATACGTATCATATATAACGATGGGTTG